AAAAAGGAGAACTACAGACCAATCTCCTTAATGAATATAGATGCAAAAATCCTTAATAAGATACTAGCAAACAGAATACAGAGGATTATTAAGAAGATCATCCATCCTGACCAAGTCGGATTTATTCCAGAGATGCAAGGGTGGTTCAACATATGAAAGCCAATAAATGTAATACATTATATTAACAAAGTCAAGGACAAAAACTGTATGATCCTCTTAATAGATGCAGAAAAAGCATTTGATAAAATTCAACACCCATTCATGGTAAAAACCCTGCAAAAAATTGGAATAGATGGTCTATACCTCAATTTAATAAAGGCTACATATGAAAAACCATCAGCCAACATCATATTAAATGGCCAGAAACAGAAAACCTTCATGTTAAAATCAGGAACAAGACAAGGATGCCCATTATCACCACTTCTCTTCAATATAGTTCTAGAAACATTAGCCACAGCAATTAGACAAGAGAAAGAAATTAAAGCAATAAAGACAGGAAAGGAAGAAGTTAAACTTGTCATTATTTGCTGATGATATGATACTCTACATTGAAGATCCAAAATACTCCACCAAAAAACTTCTAGACTTAATTGACAGATTCAGTAGAGTATCTGGATACAAGGTGAATACCCAAAAATCAATAGCCTTCTTATACACAAATAACAGACTCACGGAGAGAGAAATAAGGGAAAAAATTCCTTTTACGATAGCATCCAAAATAATGAAGTATCTAGGAATCAATCTAAGCAAAGAAGCAAAAGATCTCTACACTGAAACTACAGCACTCTGAAAAAAGAAATTGAAGAGGATATAAAAAATGGAAAGATATCCCCTGCTCCTGGGTAGGAAGAATCAACATAGTGAAAATGGCCATACTACCAAAACTGCTATATACATTCAATGCAATGCCAATTGAAATTCCAACGCTATATTTCACAGAACTAGAAAAAAGAATCCAAAAATTCATTTGGAACCATAAGAGACCTAGAACAGCAAAAGCCATTTTAGGCCACAGACACATGGCACCAGGTATTACAATTCCCAATTTGAAACTATACTACAAAGTTCACTTGCCTTTACAGAAGAAAAGATCAATCAATAATTCACCAGATTAACAGTTTAGAGAGAAAAATCACATGACCACTCACAAATGCAAGAAAGACAGGTGTTAAAATTCATTACCCATTTATGGCAGAGACTCCTAGAAAGTAAGTTGATTAAATTGTAACTACAAAGTATATTATACAATATTTAGCTGTCAAACCCAACAACAAATATCACATTTAATTTCAGACATTAAAAGATAATGAAGGGCCAGGGGATTTAGCTCAGTGGTTCCACTGCCTGCCTTGCAAGTGCAAGGACCTGAGTTCAATCCCCAATACCAAAAAATAAATTAAAAAAGAAAAAATATAATGAAAACTTTATAACAAATTACCACAAACTTACTGGCTTTAAACAACTTACTACCTTACATTCTATAGATTAGAAATCAACATGGGTCTTATTGGTGTTGCCAGGATTATATTTTTTCAAGGCTTTAGGGCAGATTCTTGTTTCTTTGCCTTTTTAGCTTGCAGAAGTCATCTATATCCCTACACTTGTAGTCCCTTTGCATCTATATTTTTCTGAAGTCCCATATCTCTTCCTCCCTTTCCCTTTCTGTGTTCCTCTTTTTCTTTCCCTACAGCTAGGAAACTCACTTGGCTTTTAAGGACTTGTGTGATTAGATTGGGCTTATCTAGATAATGCAGGATAATCTCTCCATTTCTAGGCCCTCAGTTTAGTCATATCTGTAAAGTCTCTTTCCCATTATAACGCAACATATTCATGGGATCCAGAGATTAGAATATGACCACTTTTCAAGAGAAGGGTGGCATTTTTCTTCCTACTGATGTAAGAGAAATATAACTCTCAACCTGCTAGATGTCAGATATGCCAAGTTTGTGTCTCCTGAAATCAAAACATGAATTCCAAAGGACAACAGAGGTTAAGAGTAGGAGAGATTTATTAAGACATAGCTCCTGAGAAAGAGGAGTGGTCCTGAAAGTGGATTGCCACTGTGGCCCTTTGTCAGGAGTAATTTATAAGTCAAAGGCACAGTGTAGGTATAACGTGGGTCAAACTACAATCAACCTATAAGGTTAAAGCATAGCCACTTAGCTAGTATTGATCCAACAGGAAAGCAAGATACATAGCAAGGGTATATAGAAAGAACAAAGGCATTTTGGGAAAGGGATGGGTTTGTATGTTCTGCTCTCCCACCTGGGTGACCAGTGTCTTTCTGGACTTCATTGGACCAAGTGATACCAATCACAATACAATCTGAAGTTACTGTTTATCCCTCAGGGAGGCAGGTAAGCTTAGTTACTACATCTTTATCATGAGGCCTGGCCTTCAGTGTATGCACATACAGCCACAGTTTTGATATGTTCTCATCTTTTGCACAAGGGCCTGACCCTGTCTGACTGCCTATTTCTGTCTAACTTAGCTGCATCTAATACTACCACAAATTTTTCTTTTTAAATTGCTTGGGCATATAGCTTAATGGTAGAGTACCCATGCACAAGGCCCTGGACCCAGAACCAAAGTTAAATAAAGTACCTGGAAATACATATTACCAGAAAATGTTCAGGACCCCCATGGGGAATATAAAAATTTAAAAACTTTGTTGAGAGACATTAAAGGAGACTCAAATAAATTGATGCATACACTATGTTTATGGAATGGAAAGATTCAACACAAGATGTGTAAAGACAGGTAGCCTAATTTTTTAATATAATTTTATTATTTCTTTTTATTATTTCTTTATTTTATTATTTCTCAGAACCTTGTACCTGCGAGGCAGGTGGCAGCACCACTGAGCTAAATCCCCAGCCTCCAGTAGCCTAATTTTTAAATGGGCAGAAAGTTCGAATAGATACTTCTCCAAAGAAAATATGCAACTGATCAATAACCACACGAAAAGATGCTCAACACATTTGTCAATCAAGAAATACAAGTCAAAACCATAGTGAGATACAGCTTCAAACTTACTAGGATGGCTGTCAAAAGATGCATGATAACAAGCATTGGCAGATGTGAAGAAATTAGAGCTCTTATGTCTTGCAAGTGGGAATGAAAAACTATACATTCTCTTAAAACTGTCCTAGAGTACCTCAAAGAGTTAAACGTAGAATTAACTTTATGATATTAATTTTATATAGTTAAAAATTACTCTGAAGAATTCAGTAATTCCATTTCTGAGCATGTACCCAAGAGAATTGAAAGCATTTGGACACAAAAACTGCTACAAATGGTCATTGTATCATTATTCATAATAGCAAAAACTAAAACAGCCCAAATGTCCATGAACTAATGAATGGATAAGCAAAATGTGGTGTATCCATAAAATGATACAGCATTCAGCTATAAAAGAGATGAAGCACTAATACTTGCTACAACAATATAGGTGAATGTTGGTAACATTAATTGCAACAAAAGAAGCTAGCCACAAAAGGCCACTTTTGGTATAAATCCATTTATATGAAATACTAAGAATAGGCAAATATATAGAGAGAAAGAGATTAGTAATTGACAAAGACTGGGAAAGAAGTAATGGAAAGTGATTGCTAACAGGCGTTGGGGCTTCTTTTAAAATAATGAAGTGTTCTGAAATTAGGTAGTGAAGATGTTTGCATAGCCATGTGAATAAGTTAAATGTCACTGAATGTTTACCTTAAAGTACAATTTTATGGTATGTGAATTATATTAAAGAGAAAAGTAAGGGAAGAGAGGGGAGGGTTGAAGGAAAGGAAGAAAAGAAAGGGGAGGAAGGAAGTAAGGTAGGAAGGGAAGGAAAAGAGGAAGGGAGGAAGGGAAGAAATGTAAGCTGAAGGAAGGAAGAGGGAATGACTCGGAGTGATCTGAGTGTTAGGTAATCAGGAGCTGGATTATGAATGGAATGGGATAAATGTATTATGGAAGGAAAACGGTGAATCCTAAGATGTTTTGAAGGAAAAAAGTGACAAGATAGAGACACCGAAAAGGAAGCAGCATGTCTACAGATGATTATGAAGACTGAAAATGGACACTTAATAAATTCATATTTCTCCTGAGCCTAAGCATAGTCATTAAGTGTCAAGTAAAATCGAAATTGTATGCTCAAGTTTAAATCTATATATTTGAAGGTAAATAGCTTTAAATTGCTAATCTTTAATGTTCTGATCCCTTAAGAGTAATTTTTAACTATATAAACTAATGTCAATATGCCAATGGGCATATTGTTTGAAGTCATTGATTAGTTTCAGCAAATAATTACTAGCTCCTTTTTGCAGAAATCCTGCAGTGTGAAGTAGCATAGGATTATTTGTTAATGTACATTGTTATTTTTGATTATTCAAAAAAGTATCTTGAAATTATTTAGACCATCATGATAAAAGTAAAATATGTATTAAGGGCAACTATATAAATATTCTGTCACTCATTTCAAAATTGTACTTCAGTGTTATCATGTAGTAGGATTTTATGCTTAATCCTTCCATTATTTGTGTTGCTTTTTATATTTATCAATCCAATCAGTTGGAGAATCATCCTCGGGAAAGGCTTCCAGAAGTCTTGCACAGCATATTCCGGGCCCTGGTGGCATTGAAGGTGTGAAGGGGGCAGCATCTGGAGTTGTTGGTGAATTGGCACGAGCTCGTTTGGCACTAGATGAGAGAGGACAGAAGCTTGGTGACTTGGAAGAAAGAACAGCAGCTATGCTATCAAGTGCAGATGCATTTTCTAAACATGCCCATGAGGTATGTCCATCAAATAAATAAAAGAAAGTTAGATAATGCATTTATGAAAATTGTTGTACACATGAATTTTATTGTATCTGTTGTATAGTCACAAATTCCTGATTTTTGTCAGTAGAGGGAACCATTATAGTCATATCTTAGAAGCCTTTTCTCCCTTACTGAAATTTTAAAATTCTGAGGGAACCTGGTCATCTGGATCTTTATAAATAATGCCCGCAGTTTTGCAGCTGTTTCTTAGGGAATATGATAACAATGCTAATTTGCCTTAGTCCTACCACCTTGTTGTAGAAGAGGAATTAATTTGTCTCTGTGATTCTCCCAGGTAGATCTAAATAACTGAAATTGACAAACATTTAATTCAAATAAACAATACAAAGTGTGTCTTGTAGACCAGTTCACATCGATGGGTAGCAGAGTGTCTTCTGAAATGAATTCATCTTGATGGACCTCAAAAATCATGGGGGAGCTCAGCAGAGTAGGAGCCCTAAACAACCCTTTGAAGTGTTTTTATAACTAACATAATACTCTCTCAAAACTGAGTTTAAAAGCCTTGTTGTTAAATACACTTTTTTTTTTTTGCACACCTACCATGCTTTAGACTGAGATACCCATATTTAATTCCTAGCTTGAGGATATTTTGAGTTTGTTGTCTGAAGGAACTATATCAAAGTTATTTTTATACCTGAGCATCCACTCTATAGTAGTATCTTTCCTTTAAACATTTCAACCAAAAATCTTCTCTTTACTCAAAAATTCTAAAACCTAGAATTCATGAAAGAAGTAACTTGACCTGGGAGATATTTATCCAGGGCCTCAGAAGAGATTCAGAGATTCTTTGTAAGTATTTGTACTGTGCCCACATGTACCTCAAATACAGGTTAGTTAGCATCCTTCAGTCCTTTTGTTGTCATAACCCTACACCTGATTGTGTGATTCCTAGAGTATATAGAAACTTCCCGTCAATTTGACAATATGTACTCACTCTAGTTAGCAAAGTGCACGATCACAAACTGATAGCTTTTCCTTTCATCTAAATTTTGTTATTCAGCCATATTTGAGAGTCTAAGGTATGGGCTGGGGATTTAGCTCAGTGGTTCGGTGGCCTGCCTTGCAAGCGCAAGGACCCGAGTTCAATCCCCAGTACAAAAAAAAAAGTGTCTAAGGGAGACTTAAATTGAGATAGTTGTGATCATGCATTCTTGAATCAGACTGTCTAGGATTAATCCCAAGGTTTAACATGGTATTTGTTTTGAGTAGCCCTGGAAACCTCAGATTCTTCATCATTTATAAAGGGGAAGAAAAATAATGTGTAATCCAAAAAATTTTGTGCAGAGCAAATAAAATCAAGTAGGGAAAGTGTGTCATTCAGTGCTTGGCTCTGAGTAGGAATTCAGTAAATTTGAGATAATGGTGATAAAATTTCCAACTTTACATTTCCTGGTTCTTTAAGCATTATTTTGAAAGTTACCTTATTTATAGGTTATCTCAGTCTCCAAATGATGTTACATCTCTAAGAAGTTTGAGGACCTAGTAGGTTAGTTCTTAATGTTTATGGTCATTTTTCCTCTAAATGGAACAGGTTTCACTGCTTTCAATAAACTTATTTTGATTAAGCAATATAATAACACTACAGAATGTTTCAGACTAATGTTTTTGTAAAATATAGAAATGAGTTATTATTGTTCTTGAATTTTAAAAACATGTTTTTCTTGTTTTTTCCTCTTATAGATGATGTTGAAATACAAAGATAAGAAATGGTACCAGTTCTGACAACCGAAATTGAACAAGTTCAACTTTAGCCAGAAGGAAAAAAGTTTTCCTGTTATTTCATTGATTTTTTTAGGAAAGTTAACATTAACAGGATGTTCATCGCTGAATACTGTTCTTTCCTAGCACAATCATGCACTGTTTTACCTCAGTCTTTTGGCTTTACCTGCGGAGTGTACACACACACTCAAACCAGAGTACATGGTGTATGCCAGCTTGAGTTGACAGTTTGGGAACTAAGCAGGTCACGTGTAACAAATGAAGAAACAAAGGGGGATGTTGAGGAGACATGGCAGGGACTATTCCTTGGATCATTACTGTATTAAACTTTCATATGCCAAAAGATTTTGTGCCGTTGTTCTGCCAACAGTGTTTTACCTTTTTTGGGGGAGAGTCAATAAGTCCGAAGTCCTGAAGCTGAAATATTTATATATGTGTCATTGGACTGGATTATAAACAGCTATGTTGGACTTTCCTTCCCTTAAACTGACTGGTCATCAGTATCATTAGTAAAGAAGAAACTGTTTGTTACCACATCTTTAGACTAAGCTGAATGGTGGGCTTTAAATAATAAAAACATACACATAGTTGACTTGTGTATGGGCTACTCTTGTATTCTTGTTATATACTTGTGTTTAGTCATATTTTGTCAAAAGCAAAACAAGGTGATACATCACTTTTCATTGAAAAGAGAAGTGTAGAGCATGACTGAATTGCTCATCATTCTGGGAGTTTCCATGTAGTGGCTATACAGTGTGGAAAGTGAGAAAAACCTCCATTGTGGTGAGGAGAATACTTCAATGTCCTTTGTTCTTGTTCTCTTTAAGTCAGCTAAAAGTGGATTTGACCAAAACAGTTATCAGTTAAATTTGTAGAAAAGTTAAAATTGGCTACATTTTTAATTTTGCTTGAGTTTTTATAAAATGTTTAACCAAATGTATCTTTGCATTATTTAATTAAAATTGCTAAAAAAACAACGTTTCATTATTTCGGTAAAATGCTCAGCTCCCTTTATAAAATGCCCTTTATTTGCTAACAGTTCCAGTACACTCAGGTGATGAGCCAATTAAATCGTAATGCACATGCTATCGCATGGAAAATTATGAGTCGAGTGTGTTGACCTACAAAATACTTTCTCTAGAAATATAAATATATTTATGTATATGTCCTTTCAAAGTTTTTTAAAAAATAAAAGGAAAGGAAAAATATACTTTGATAATTAAATTAGTTCTGTAATGGAGTGCAATGCAAATTGAAACAGCAGGAAACCGTGAATGAGTGGTACCTAGAATGGCATCACAAATAGGAAAGAAACCACTACCTGGACCTGGAAATAAGTAGTCTCATAGTGCAGCTAATCTGAGATTAAAATTGATTATTGTTAAAGCAGCAAAGAGCAAAGTAGAAGTATCAAAATTAATGTTAATGAAATATAAATATTGTCTTCTATAAAAATTCTTTAAAATCATTTTCAGTTTTTCATTAAGAGATAACTAGAGCACAAATTGATAGCAACCATAGTTGTTTTTCTATTCCATATGATCATTTAAAGTATATGTCGAACATATTAACTTTTTCAGTCTTACACATATTTTCCTTACCATTTTCATTAATAAAGCTTTTTTAAAAATATTTTATAATGCACACTATTGAATAAAAAAGTTTATATCAAAATTTACTTTAACTATCACTGGATAAAGACTAGATATATGTAACATAATTGGTCAAGTCGAAAGATATTTTAAAAATAAAATCATTTCCAAATTTTGAATTTGTAGAAAGTACCAATGAATAACATAACTTTGTTTAATGTCACCCATCTGATGAATATCCAGCAGTTTACAAATTGCTTAATTTGCATTCTGTATTATCCAGAAAATCCATTGTTCATGATATGCCACAGGAAGGATTAGGTCCTTCTTTAAAGATACAGTTTTGTGAATGTCATCAGCAGTTAATGGATTTGAAGAAGTTGAGAAGCTTTAAATAAATTAAAAATACACTGGTTGTTTCCCTATCCAGGTAGAAGGCCATATTAGCTTCATTTAATTTGCTATATTATTATTTGCATATAAATTTCATTTTTCTTGTACATAAAATGAACCAAATTTATAGTTATTTCCAAATACGGAAGTAGATTTACCTGAGAGGGATTTTATACGAAAATGTTACATCAACATTTTAAGTTATTTGTTTCATTTTTAATCTATAAATTATGCTCAAGAAAATGAAGACTACTTAAGATTATAAAGCTTAGAATATTTTTTAATATAGAAAATAAGGTTCTCAGAGTATACTTGATGCAGTCTGTAGATAAGAGATAGTTTAATAACTAACCCAGGGAATTTATTGTAATTTAAGAGATAACATCTCTCTTTTTTTTTTAATGCAAAAAGTAGTAGTCACCAGCAAGCCAAGACTTCAGGAAAATTAACCAAAAAAAACCAAAAAACAAAAAAACAAATGTTAAAATAGAAAATATCAGAGAAATGAAAGATATTTTTTTTCTTAATTTGTGTGCTTTTCCCATATTCTCTTTAACATTGTTGCATTGTCTTTGGAAAATCATTGAAGTATTCATTGATAAGCAGTTTGTCAGTAGGAAATGGTTTTCCTATATGTACCATATATCTAATTGCTTTCACTTTGCTAGATAAAATTAATATGTGTATTTTCTTAGAGTTACTTGAAATCTTTCATTTTGACAAATTATGTATATTACATCATCTTAACAACCTTGGTTTGCATTTCAGTCATAAAATGTGTTTCCAAATCTGGTTACAGATTCAACTGAGCTATTACTAACTTCTTAATTTGATTTTTATGGATGTGAAAAAATGCTGCTACTTTACTCTGTGTAAGTATATTGCAATTTAAGTATAGTACTTTAAAGGAAGAAGCTTTTATTTTACTTAGAACTTCTTAGTTGTAGATTCTTCTGAAGTTATTTTATGTAGATATGCAAATGTTTTAAACAAGTCTGAAAGTGTTATGTACTTTTGGGTTATAGGGGATTCTCAGGAGACAGCTGAGGAAAAGAAAATTATTTGGAAGATACCACGAAGTTTAAAGTTTTACCCTGAGTTCTATGTTCTGTACATGTTTTGCTTAAAGTATTTCTCGTGTGACATTAAGAAATGCTATATCCAAAGGTAAAATTTTTGTTGCAAAGATTTATTTTGCATTTTAACTTTGAGGAGTTTATTTTGTTTATGCAAAGTAAAGAGTACTGACTTTAAACTTGAACTTTTTCTGCACTTTATTTGGGGTAATGAATACTTTTTATTATCATTTGATTCACATTTCTCCATTTAAATCAAGTGATACATGTGTATAAAATGTACCAAAATCATGAATATGCTGCTAGCCACACCTTAACCTGATCAGTTTTAAAACCTTTAATAGGGTTTTATATAGTTTTCAAAAATTAAGAAAATACAGAAGTGTTTGCTGTATGTTTCAATGTTCTTGATCTTAAATTATTGCAACACTTTCAGATTTGTTTCACAGTCATACAGTAATATGTTATATTTATACATACTGCTAGAGAATATACTTTTAGTTTTAAAATGGAACTTTTATAAATGTACTCTTTCATTTATTTAAAAAAATGGTGAACTTGTTAAGTCAAAGCACTTAAAAAGTATGTATATTATCCATACAAAAAGTTGTTTTTGCTTATAATAAGAAATGCTGGTATCTCATATCGAGATACAGTTAATTTAAATCATACATCATTTAAAAGTCTTCACACATGACAAAGAAGATACCATTACTATGTTTATTTTAAAAGAAAATCCTCTATTGAATATTTTCAAATATTTTATTTTGGGAGAAATGCCCACAAAAATAACTTTGAGATCTTTCTCAATAGCTATAACTTGCTGTTGGATGTCTACCTTAACTATTGTTTTGAAATATAGATATATAGATATATATAGATACATATTTAAAATAGTTTTCCAGGTATTTTCTTCTACCTTTTTTAAAAATAAATTTCCAAAAGTGAAAACAGAGTTTATGTATTTTTGTCAATGAAGGATTTTATTTTATAGTTGATAGAATTTGTTCCTTATCAGTATGATACTTGATCAATATTCCTAGGCTTTTAAATCTGTATTTAATTTGGAAAAGAACACTCCAATATATTGTTTTCTTTTTTTTTTTTTAGGGTGTTTGTTCTCTTGGATTAAGATATATGCCCACTTTTTTCATTTAGAAATGAATGTGAAGATACTGTTTACAGCTTTTGTTAATTGCTCTTGTTATCATTCTGATCAATTTCTTGTAAAGTGCTATGGGGATTATTTTTCCTGTGAATATTATGATCTTACTACTGCCTCGAAAGTTTCAAAAGTTCTGTGGATAGAAAGTGATTGTTGCCACCAAAAAAGAGAAAACTTTTATCTTAGCATTCTCAGCTGAATTTAGTTATTTTAATATTGTCCTAATTACCATGGTATAATATTGCTTCCTTCAGTTACTATAACACAATTATTAGGCATAATTCACTTATAAAATGAGTCTGGTAATCCAGTGCTACTTTTAAGTGCTCTTTTTATTTTTCTCCTTACAACAGAAAAATCATGAATGTCAATTTTGCAATGAGTGAGGCTTGTAGGTTAAATTAAAATTTTATACTAATATATAAATAAATATTAACTTATTGTAGGTCTTTTGACTCAGGCATTTAAAAATGGGTATGGGTTAATTGCAAGGGAATTCTTTTTATTTGAGTTTGTTATTTTTAAATTCTTTGGTTTGTTTTGGGTTGTCTAAACTTTACTTCAGCTGAAGACAGTGTAAGGAATTGAAAACAGATGTATCAATGGAAAGCAATGCAAAGAGGATACGTCATTTTAATTTTTTCTTTCTTTTTTTTTGTAAATAAATAGTACTGTGATACTTTAGGTGTGACTTCTACTTAGCATGGTAGGTAGAACCAGAAACACATTTTGCTTTCTAGTTATACTATTGGTTCATTGTAAATGCATTACCAAAAGATAATATGAAAAAGAGCAAGATTTAGTTTCTCTTAACATTGTTCACATCAAGGGCAAGCATGCTTGGTGTAGAGCTCTAGCTTGTGTATACCTTAAACTGTACACGCAGGTGTTTTTTAGTTACTGCACTTGTTTTTTATTTTGTTTTGTTTTTTAATCTTGCTCATTCCCAGTAACTATCTCAATGATAATTGCTGGAATATGCATTTGAAATAGTTTAAAATTTTTTCTGTGTACTGTTTCATTAAAAACAAAAGCAGTATTGCTAACACTAAAAATGTGTTAAATCTTTGTAGTTATTTTATGTTCCTGTACTTTATCAGAAAAAGAACTGTCATCACAGCAAAAGGTTTAAAATTAGGTAATGAAATATTTTTGTAAATAAATACCATTAAGCTGGTATTTTAAAAAATTGTATTATAAGTGTTTCTGGAAATGTTCATAT